TAAAATAGTTTTAAAAGAATAATAACAATCAAGCAACCATTCAATTCAATCTAATAGATATACCAACTTTGAAAAAAAAAGAGAATAACTATGAATATTATCTATATTATTTTGCATTAAATAAATGGATATTCAAATGATAATACGGATATTCATATTACCAATACTCATTTGTGCGCTTGTTATTTTTCATGAATTCTTTCACTGTGTTCTAAGCTTATTTTGGCTTTTAATTTGTATCCATACTATCCATCGGTTAAGTATCATTTTAAATATGAGTGAGTCAAATATTTTATTCATTTTCTTGAACCCATTTTGATCCGTCCATATCTAATTTATTTCATTCGTTGCCATTTCTATTAACAATTTAAAATCCTAGATGAGATGGGATGACCATAAAAGCATAGACAATTTGTTCTAACAAATTAATCATGACCTCACCAAAACACAAGTCTGAAAACCATCAGTTTTTTGTGAATAGTAACACTAGTCACTAGCTCCATGCTTTGTTAAAGCAAAAATCTAACATAAAATTTGACCAACATGATTGGCTATGCATATTCATTATTGTACTTGAAGAATATCCATTATATTCCTAAACTTTGTCACCATATAAGCACGAGATATTGATATGATATAGTGGGCCTTGTATTCAAGTTGAAATTATCTTTTGCTTTCTAGTCATTGAACACTATACATAGAATCTCAATCTCCAAGGATTTTTCCATTTTTGGCTTTGGCATCTACTAAAGAGCTATCACTTGGAGGGAGAAATATATCAAAACCATTAAGTACTTTTGAAAAAAAAATAATTATTCACAAATGTGAAAGGGGTTGAACAAGTGGATTTAGACTTCATTGAAAGAAAAAAAACATTACCCTATATCTATGTCTCCTTTGCCTGCCATAAATGCTAATTGATTTTTTTGGCTAGAGATAGACATGATCGGTGAAAATTCATGTAATCGATACTAATTTATTCAGATTGATGCATTGTTATTGTTATGATGATAGTTATAATATGTACTGCTGTAACTACTCCTGTTAAGAAAAATTGTATTTGGTCATCTTGATCTTGTCACATTAATTTATTCGTGACACAATTGTTACAACATTATTAGATATATTTTATAATAATTTGTCAAAAAAATTACTTTTATTCTACTTTAGGATTCTACATGAATGGTATAACATTAAAATTTCCTTTTTAGTTTAGGAATATTTAATAATATGTCTTTCACGCCAATTAACTAATGCACTAAAAAAAAAAGAATTGAAGACATATAACTTCGATAGCTAAATAACAAAATTTAGTACTAATCATATTTAACAATTGTTTAATGATAATTTTTATTAAAAATTGTTAGCTAAAATCAAACTATTTTGGTGCAGTCACTGTCATTTTTTGTGCTGTTATGCTGGATTTGTCGCGCAAGATATTTGTCATTATTCAAACACGCATGATGGTGTATTACATAAATAGGATATTATGAATATAAACCCATATATAAACATAACGAGTAAAAAAAAAGAGAAAAAAATCATTAAGGGTCAATTTAATTGCCAATTTATGAGATCAACAGAACAAGTGTAAAGTTCAATTTTTAGGATAATATTTGTAAGCTTGTGGTAATTTGTCACTAAGGTTCTTATTGGCTATTAGGCCATTGTAATTAAAAAGATCAGTGGGGTTTCAAATTGACCTGAAAGTTGAATACATATAAAAAAAAGGAAAAAATATCACTTTTGTAAAGTCAACATTCTTAAGCACGAGTATTCTGAGTTGGGAACATGAATTGTGGTGAATAATTGAGATTTTTTATATTTAATTAAGAAAAAAAATTGAGTTTCAATGTAAATATTAAACATCAAATAAAAAAGAGTAACTTTCACATATAACAAACATAAAAATCATATTTATATGTTATAGCTATAGTTTGCATAATTGCGCTCCATAACAAATTTTATATTTGTTATGGAGCTTTTGATTTGTATATTTCGCTAGATACATCCAATTTATATACAAATTGTTCAATTTTGTATAAATTCATTTATACAATTGGCTAATTTGTATATAAAACGTTTCAGTTAGGCTTGGTCATTGTATACGTACATATAGCTATAATTTGTATATGTACGTGTTCTTTGTATAAGTGTATATGTGAAATCTATATGCAAATCTCTCTCTCGCTTTATACAACACAAATTATACATTGTAATTTGTATAATCTGTGTTTGTATAAAGCGAGCAAGAGAGAAAGACAAAAGAGAATTGGGCAGGGGAATATCTGTATTTGTATACTTTTAAGTGTATAAGACGAAAATATACGTGTTTGTATTTGTAAATACACTTTTCTCTCGCTTTATACAAATACAAACACATTTTATACATTTGTATACCGAATGGGTAATTGTATATCGAAAATGACTAATTGTATACCGAACTAGATGGCAAAAAAATGGGATGTTTGCTGCGAATTACAAATAAAATAAACTATAGCTATAACATTTAATTTGAATTAATAATTTGCTATTTCATACGATTTTCCCAATAAAAAAACACCCTGATTTAATAATTGCTAGCAATTACTATTAGACCCAACTCTTCTATTTTATTATATTTTCGCCATATAAAAAATAATTTTTTAATTGTTCACTTTAATATATATATATATACTCATCTACTCTTTATCAAAAATATCTTAGGACTTTAAATTAAATGACTCAAATCATCATATTACTTAATAAAGGTTTTACAAAAATATTCAAGGATGTATAATGCAACTAAATGGCTAACATTTTATTAACTAGAACTAGTCCATACTTTCATAAATTACAATATTATTACGTGAAGTTAAAGATTATATATTTTCTTTTAAAAAAATACTACACTAAATACAAGTAGCAGAGATAAAAACAAAAAAAAAAAACTTTAAATTATTGTTGTTACTATGTATATGTATACATATATTTAAAAGTATATTATTAAGATATGACTTTAGATCACTAATTTTATTGAAATGTTTTTAAAAGTATGAGTAAATTTTTATAAATGAAATATTATCATATTATTTTTAGCTTGCATTAAAAATCTTAAAGTAAATAAAGATGTTTACGTTGTCTAATATATAAGGCGAACCTTTGATTCTTTTGATCGGGCAGACCCACACCGCTGTCAAGGCATATGAACTCATGGAGCTGATAAGGGATATGAATCAATTATCTAGAAAACTTTAATATTTCATAGAGGTTAAATTTTGTTCCACTAAGTGAAATTTTAGAGTATTAAATGTAAATGTTATCATCCTTTATCAATAAGAAGAAGATTTTAAATTGTCAATTTTCTTTTGAAGTTTAAGAAATTTATGGTTGAAGTTAACAAATTGTAAAAGTTATTGAAATAATGTTGTTAAATTAAATAAATTACTAAAAAAATAGATCTTTATTAACCGATTTTAAAGGTAAAAGGAATGCCGAACTCAATCTCTCCCCCTCTCCTTGCCACACAAATAAAAAATAGCGTTGGAAGAATTTCAATAGTTGGTAATATTTTTATATTGTCAATTTTTGTGTTAAATTCTAGGTCCGTCATTACTTTTAACTTCAATTCAATTCTTCGATTGATTTTTTTAAATTTCGATTATGCAATTTTAAACTCAAAATAAGTTATTTTATATATTATCTTTAAAAGCTAGACCACAAACTAAAAAAAAAACAGTTGTCGTCTCAATGCAAAATGCAAATTGATATTGTCATAATTTTTCATAAAGTAAAAACACAACAATAAGAAATGAATGAAAAAACCCACTAACTCGCCACCTTAAATTTTTTATTTTCTCAATTCAATTATATTTGAAGAATCAAGAATTTGCTAGGAATTTTAAATTGAAGAGGACACAAATCAATTTATAGTGCACGAGTAAAAAAAGCATTATTATGTACCTTTGTTTAATTTTTTTATTATAGCAACAAGAAACTAACACCTTGTTTGGAGTTAATATAAATACAATGTTTGCTTTATTGTTACTTAAATTTTATTCTATTGCTTAAATTCATCGTTAGGGTAATGGCGAAAAGACTCATTTTGTGTAACGATCGATTTTGTATGATTACGTTGTTATCTTAATATTTCTTATCATTTTATCTTTATTTATTATTTAATAAATCTATTTTATTCATTTACCCTACCTTTTCATAGTAGCTCTATCTCGTACCCTACAATTTTTTGTAGATTTGTCACTCAAATTATGGATATGTGACATTATGTAACGACAAAGAACAATGAAATCTATCCAAAAATTATATTCATTAAAACTATACAATACAATACAATACAATATAATTATGAAACAATATATAACAACCGTCCGAACAAAGTGTAACTGACAATCACTATAGCGTGCTCCTAATTACTGTTTTTGGTACATATCATTAAAATAATAGAAAACAACATGCTTGAAGGACTATAAACTAACTGATATTAACAATTGTCGTCAATAAACATAATAGGACTAATTGAAGGACCAAAAAAGACAATTTGAAGTAACCTTGCTACTAAACGCCATTAGCCCATTACAATATTGTATATAGGTTAAACTAGAAAAATTGCAAAAGTGGACTTTCCCATCTTTTTGGAGTCATATTTTGTTTTGTTTGTTTTTCTTTTCCCCTCAAATACCCTTTAACTAAATTTAATGTAGTTAAATATCTTGAGAGATAGAGGCATTTTTGCATGGCCAAACACGTAAAATAATAATACTATATAGTTGTCATTTCCATATACTTCAGCGCTATATAGAGACAAAATTAAAGTAGAAACGGATTTATGCCGCTCTGTTTATAGTAAAAAAAAATTAAACCTGTATAATACTATTAATTACTTGCACGTTATAAGATAGTTTTTTAATTTTTCATTTAATCGTCCTTATTCAGTAATTTTAAGTTTAAAAGGAAAAGAAAAAAGGAATATGGGAATTAAACAAAAAAAGATACTATATATTGGAATAGAAAGATTCATTCATTAATACGTTAGAATTTAGATACAATTAGAATAAAATCAAACGGATAAAGACATAATCAAACTTAATTAGGCACACACAATCAGACCTATGACTAATAATTTTCAAGTACATAATAACATTAATTAATTAGATAATTATCACTTAATTAATTAACCAAGCTTCTAGACTTCATGATAATTAGGAGACCTGTATGATTGCCTTTGGCTTAATTATCATGTCTTCATTAATAATCACATTAAGTTGAGGCAGGTTAATTTCATTCTTCAGCTCATGAGCAGTAACCATTGGAATTATTTCTGAACACACCATTGCACTCAACTTCACAACATCAATAATTTGCTCTTTCAGTATTTCTTCAGAAAGCTTAAGCTCTTCATCACCAACAATTTCTGCTATTTCTAATTTCACTTCTTTCGTCACCTTTTTCGCGTTTTTGTAAATCAAATAAAGAGTCATTTGAATCACTCCAAGGCTAAATCCCAACACGTTTGGTATCTATTTCAAAAATAAAAATAGAAATCATTAGAACATTTAAATAAATAATAAGTTTAAAGTTTCATATTTTTAACTTACAGCAATATTGTAATCTTTGCGTAGTAGACCATAGAAGAACCACATAACGGCACTTAAAGTCAGGAAAAATGATAGTTGAAATGGCATATACTCCACACTTTTGGTCCTTATAACTTGTCGCTGCATTCAAAACAAAAAGAATATTCAAATAAATGTGAATTTAACGAAAAGTATTTATTCCGATGAAAATAATAATGAAGATGTGTGCAAGTTGGCTCAGATACTTACGAGAACACCCAAAGGTGCAACGAAGACGCAAAATGAGAAAATAAGGCAAATCCATCCGACAATTTGAGCACGGCTGGAGCCTTTTGCAAAAAATTGAGTTAGCAAAATGATTAAGCCCAGACCAACGACGTTCATTGAAAGAAGCAGCTTCATCGTGTCCATCTAGAAGAAAAATCTTCAATGGTTAGTTAAATAATATTTTAACGTACAATATCGATTTTTTTTATTTTTTTTTATACATGTTATAGTATGTACCTTGGCTTTTTTGGTGGCATAAAAGAGGAAGAAGCAGATGTAGAAAGTTTGAATAAAACAGCCAACAGAGTTAATGGTAATGAGAAGAGTTGTATCAGGTTTAAGAAATGCATAGTAAATCCAAAGCATGGCACTGAATAATCCAACCACGTAAGGAACTGATTGGAACCCTTCTGTTGATTTCTTCTTGTAAATCTTATAAAACGTTGGCCTGCAATTAACAAAATATTTAATTAAACTCATAACGTTACGTTGTTTTTATTTTCGAAAAAAGAAGAAGAAAGAAGTATTGACGTTGCATGGTTGAAATACTTACACTGGAGCAAGGTAGACCATGAAGGAGACAATGTTGCCTAAAATATATAAAAAGTAAAAAAAATCCAATTTAGTGATTGTATTTAGAATGAGGATAACATGAAATTAAATCAAATCCAAGAATGGATTTCTAGACAATGTTTATGTATATAAATGAAATGTGTTTCAATACGAATGTTTTTTAGTGGAAAAGATAATGAAACGAGGTGATTTCCATGCAAGAAACCATTAAATGCACTAAAAGAGAAAATAAAATAACATATATAGACACAATATCTTTGTACGTAGAACAACTAAATCTTATAGTTTAGTAATATGAAATGGTAAATGAACCCCTTAATTTCTCTATCATTTCTTTTGTGAAAAGAAATAAGGAATTCGAGGCTAGGTTTGGTACGTCTATTTTGAAATATTTTTGGCGGGATAGAGTGGAAGTGTTCATGATAAATAAATAAATATATTTGTATTTTCTTTTACCTAGGAGGCCAAATACAAAAGCCAAGTGAGTCATCATATTCTCTTCTAAACAGAAAAAATAAACAAAATTCTCTAACTCTTGTTAGTTAGTAAAAAATAATTCTTTGTATGTAGCTTACAAGCACATTTTGAACAATGCAAGAATGAGCCATTTATATAGTGGATCATGATTTAAAAAAAGAGCCTAGATTCAAAGACCTAAAGTCTAATGTAACACAACAATCCTTTTCACTTTTTAATTTTATTACTCTATTATTAACCTTTACAGTTGTTAAAAAGCAGTGTATTTATTTATGAGAAATCCAAATTGCTTTCCTAGGGCTAATGCTCCATTTAACCATATTTAGTTATTTTCTACCTTGGACAGAGCCCCTTACCAGCTCATATAGTTTCTATAATGGAAAAATATTCAAAGCCAAATTGGACCCCACATTTTCCTTTATGATGTGTCAACCACCAATCCAATTGGCCTTAAGGTTTACAACTCAGACTATAACAGTTTTAGTAGGGTTTGATACCTATAAGTTAAAAGCATAGCAATGACCTTATTCAGTAAATTAAAAGTTGAGGTGAGGACCAATAGTGTGTTGCCATGTCAGCATCAATAATATATGTGGAGGAGGAATCATTCATCAAGTGGATCCACTATATTATTATTAGTATTATTTTATTAAACTTATTATAATGTTCTATGTATTTTCTTTAATTTCCTTGTTGGGTTATATTTGAATGTTGCTATGGATCAGCCTGCTTTTTCCTATTGAGAGATATTCAAATTGTCAAAGTTGTGAGCAGCCCAACCCACTAATACTTTATGAAAATTACAAGAGCTAAGAATTTGCCCACATAAGTTTGTTCAGTTCACCTAGTTGCCATTTGCCAACTACAAGAAAATATGGAATTGACTATGAAATTCCTAGGTAATTCGTTGTAAAAATGTTCATAACTAATTGAATTTTCTTATAATCCATAACTAAATTAGATTGACATAAAACTTTTATTATTTAGCTGCGGAAAATTTTATTCGTCGCTAATTTATCAAGTAAAATAACGACAAAGAAAGCTCAATTAAAAGCCTAGCTTTTTATACCTTGACTTATCAAATCCAAATCAGTATAAATTTTAGTAGCATCACGTTGAATATAATATAAGACTTCATTATTTGCATTTTGTTTCTGATTCTCTTAATTAATCATGTTGTCACAAATTCAATACAATGTGAATAAAAACTCCATTTAATTAATTCTGCGTTAGAGTGGAAATTAAAGGTACGTATAGATATTTATATGAGTCTGAATTATGTCAGTTCAAATTTGAAATTCTACAACAATTCATTTGATTTACTGTACGTAAATATATTATTATTATTAATGATTTTTTAATACATATACATAATCTAAGCTAAACTATTAAGTTAGAATGAATTCATAGCAACTTTAATTACTCTGCTTTTAAGAGTTATTAATTTGGTTATATAGACCTTTTCAAATTTGAATTTTCAATTACTGTCAGATCCATATTGATTTTAAAAGTTTAATCTGGAGTAGAGCAATATATTAGATCATTTCACTTGTGAAAGTTCAAAGTTCAGCATATATTATATGGAGTAGATTTTTTCCTCGGTTAATTTTGTGGGAGAGATAAAAATATAGTGTCTTAACAATGAATATGAAAGTTACAAACACCAAAATTCACACATCTTGTCGGACCAATCATTATATTCCCTAAAATTGAAAGAATTATTGTTTATGCATAATGATTAATATTTCCTCCATCCTATATTAATTAGTTGATTACTTTTTCATTTTGCACGTTGCTTAAGAAGGAAAAAAATAATTTATGTATTCTTGATTTAATAAGGTGATCAACTAATATGAAATTGAACAGTGGAGTATATTCTGATACAAAAGAATTTGTATAATTAATTAATTCAACCTTTTGAGATTAATCAATTCAAAAGAGACATTGAGAATTAAAAAAAAATGTGTGGCTCCCTGAATGTTTGGAAAAGATAAGCTAGGACTCAGTTGTAATACTAGTATTCCCACCATTTTTTTATTCGTTTGTTATACTTTTTTTTAGTCCATTTTAAATAAGAATGTCTCTTTTTTTTTTAGGGCAATTCTTTAATTTTATCTTTTCATATGACATGTTTAAAATCATAAAATTAAAAGAACATTTTGGTATATTCTATGTAACTTTAATTCAAAACCACAAAATATACAAGTTTTTCTTTTTTTTCTTAAACTCCATGACAAATTAAACCGGAAGGATCTCCGACCTGTCAAATTGAGTCTAACTTAAGTAGTGATATATATAAATTTAAAATGAAGTTTTTCTTCGTCCATTAGACCTCGAAAAAGTGTATATTAGTGTGCCAATGTTTATTCGATCCTTTATTACGGGGATATTCCATATTTGACTACTATTCAGTATTGGGTATTGACAATCACAAGTTTTTAGTTATTTCAAAGAATTATTAGTCACCAAATGTTCGTTTGCAAATTCTGTCAATTGATTCTTCACTGAAAAGGTTTAGCTTATAGCCAGCTAGTTAGCCACTAGTATTCTTCTCATCTTTAATCGGCCAGTTGAACTGTGTGACTATCTCATTTAAAAATTTAAGTTGATAAAAAGATCACACTTTTATTAGTTAATTGTATTCTCAACAATCCCTCTCACGTGGACTTTTGGTTTTTTTCATAGGTCAAACATGTGAAATTTGATAAATTTAATTAAACAACATTCAGAGTTTTTATTAAGTGATTACGTTCCAATAAATTGTTTCTCTTTATTAATAGTCTGTTTGACTAAATTTTTATGAGGTTAAAGGTATTTATTTTAAACAGATTAAAAAAATAATTTTTCACCAAGGGATACGCTTGAAACACTTTTATAAAGCTTGATTAAATACTAATTTTTTATTAAAAATATTTTGTTAAATATATTGGCCAAACACAAATAACTTCTCACAACATATACCTTTCAAAAAGTATTAAAAAAATAAATTAATTTTAAAAGTTTGGTTAAATAATCTATAAATGACACTTGGGTAGCTTTCATTTCAGGTTATAAAATAATATATTATATCATATTTCATGTTGATTATTGCCAACCTTAAAACAGAACTTAGCACTAGCAATTTCATTCTGCACCATTTGTCTGGTATAAATGTCACTAAAGATTCTCTCTTTATTCCTCTATTTATAATTATACTATATGTCTATCTCTCTCCAATACTTTATTAGGATAATTCAATTACCGTTAAGATTAATAAGGTAATGTTAAACAGTTAAATTAATTAAGTTATTTTTTGAAATATTGAAATTAAATTAAATTGATTTTTTATTGCTTCGGTCTTTGTCAATTTTATTGATTTTTTTGTGTTTATTCCTTTTTTCATCGTTTTTTTAAAATATACTATAGGCTTAAGTCATCAACGTTCCCTTAAAGTTGTCAGCATAATTCACTTAGACACCTCAACTAGGACTATTACCTATTATAAACTCTAATATTAAGGAATATGTATCTATTGAACATGAAATGAAAACTTTAAAAAAAAATGTTCTACGTGTAATTCACACGCATTGTCTTAAAGCAAGCACATATAAAATTAAGACACATGGCACATGGACCCAGTTTAGCAATAAAATATAATTTTTTCAATTTTAAAAAATGAAAAAAACTTTCCAGACTTTATTTAATAATCACAAAAAGATTAAAAAATAAAATCTCCCCCCACCCCACACCCGCACCTAGCCCTTTGACCTTTCTTCTTCCTTTACCCGTGAACCCTGCCAGACGCCATCAATTTCTCCATTGATAACGAACATAACAAAATTAAAAATTTCCGGCTCAAATTCATTCTCATATCATCCGTTATTCTCTATTCATTTTGAGATTTTTGTGAAAATAAATGGACGTTAATAATTTATTTTGAAATCCGCGACGAAGAAAAATCGAAAGTATGTTGAGTTTTTTAATATCATCTTTAATAAGTTTAATGAGTGGTGATGTTTGTTCAATCAGAGTGATGGAAAATAAAGACGGACGAATATTGATCAATTTTTAACTTCAATGTTCAAAAAAAAATTCTTCTCGCATATTAAATTAGCAAATTCAGAATTTTTTTACAAAACATGAAGAAAAAAAAAGAACGAAATAAAAGGCTAGGAATTTAATTTTTTTAGAATGATGGGTTGAAGAAGATGACCACTAGTGCATGGGTATGGCCGTATGGGTGTGGGTGTGGGGTGTGGTGGGGGGTTGTTTTTATTTTACAAGAGATTAATATGAAACTAATATTATTTTTTTAATTATTTAGTTAGTGCATGTCAACTGTTAAAAAATAGGTACTAACTTATCAAAAAATAAATAAAAAATAAAATTAGACTCTATTCACATGTTTAGTAGTAGTGATATACACTTATTTTGTCATATCATCATTTTGTGTTTAATAGACACATATTTTGAACTATTTAGGCGTTCAATAGGTACAAGTCCTAGTTAAGGTGTCTAAGTGAATTATACGAACAACTTTAAGGAGCCGCCGATGACTTAAGCCTATAATATATAACAATATACCTCCAAACACATATTAGATTGATTATTTTCCAACATAACAATATCAAATTAATTATTGAGAATATATATACACATACATACATATATGCATATAGATGTGTGTGTGTGTTTCGTGTGTATAATCAAGTAACATATGGAGATTCTTCCAAGAAAATTATGTGTTTCAAGAATTTAGTATTTTCTAAGAAATAGAATAAAATTTCATAATTTAAATTATTTTTGTGCAAAATATTTAATATATAGTTGTGATATACAATGATCATTAATTAAAGGACCTATAATTAAGTTATTTTGAACATCATGAAATAAATTCTTGACATTATCAAATTAAAAATTACAAATCAGACTAAAAAGTGAAGGTAAAGAATTGGATTATTATAAAGGGAAATACCTAAATTACGAACCAAAAGTGTAAAATTAGATTAATATGCATATATATAGATATTTGTATGCTTTGTAATTATATTTTTTAAATATGTATTAATATAGTGGGTTTGGTTCAATTTTTAATCAAAATCAAACTAAATTAGATCAAATTATGACGATTTTTAAAATTTTAAACCAA